ATGCGCAGGGAGTTCTTGCCCAGAACAGAACCATACCGCCAATCCAAACTGTATGCTAATTGTCCATCATCTTTGACGATAGTGGTCCTGACAAAAATCTAGCGTAGCGTTGGTTCTGGCAGGTCACGTTAGTCAAGCTCGCATCAGCTGACTCTCAGCTGATCCCCATCTACCCATGGGAATATGACACCTATCAAAGCATTCTTATATAAGGTCCCTCAGTATTATCAGCAGTTTTGCATTGCTCAATAGCTAATTACCCTCCTAGAGTAATCAAATTCCAAAAATCAAGTACTTGTATTTAGAGTATATTACATTTTACAATGTTCATAATGAGATTACAGTTACTTTTTTATCGATTACATGATTACATATTATTCACACAATGGCATTAAATCATTCATAAATTATTTATTAATTCTCCCTAATTTGATCTTTTTTCTCTTTTAAGTTTTCCTTTCTAAAAATGTGTCTGCACCCATTTAGCTTTGACTGTGTTCACAACATAGAATGACCATGTAAGTGTCATGTAAATAAATTTGCAAACCATGCTTCTGAATTTGGGTGAAAAACGTCTTGGTTACGTATGTAACCCTCGTTCCCTGAAGGAGGGAATGGAGACGTCACGTTGTGACCGACAAATTGGGATCTCACTTAGAGAGACCAATCCACTTAGTGTAAACTAAACGAGCCAATGCACATTGGCATGTGATGATTGCATCCAGCTGCCGCTGATCACAGCGTGAGCATAAAAAGGCAGCTGGTGCAACGCATACCAGGTTTTCGCTGAGGAGACGAGCCGGTGACCCGGCCACTCAGCGGTGGTACAGCAGCCGTGGCGACGGGACGTGACGTCTCCGTTCCCTCCTTCAGGGAACAAGGGTTACATTCGTAACAGAGATGTTCCCTTTCAGTCGGTCACTACGAGTCATGTCGTGACCGACGAATTGGGATCCCTACCAAAGCGCCATGGATGCTGCCCTTTCCAGTGTCCTGTGCGAGCCACATGCGACCCTTTGTGGTGTAGGCCAGGGCTCGCAACAAGAAGACCAGTCACTGTTGTCATTGCACTACCCACTCAGTGAGATTGGATAACACTGGGAAAACGTACCCATTCCACTTGGAACAGGAACGCTGCGGAAGCCCCATCCTTCCCGAATGAGGTTTCGGAAGCACTTAGACATATGAACATCCGGTTGCAGCTCTACAAATATCTGTCAGCGAGGCGCCACGAGCCAGCGCCCAGGAGGATGCAAAACTCCTAGTAGAGTGAGCTCGCAACCTGAGCGGGCAGGACACACCCTGAGTCTGATAAGCCAGGGTGATGGCATCCACTATCCAGTGGGCCATCCTCTGCTTAGAGATGACATTCCCCTTCTGCCGGCCTCCGTAGCAGACAAAGAGCTGGTCTGAGGTCCTAAACCTTTGTGTCCGGTCTACGTACCATCTCAAGGCTCGGACGGGACAAAGCAAAGATAGGGCTGGGTCTGCCTCCTCCGGGGGCAGCGCTTGCAGGTTCACTACCTGATCCCTGAAGGGGGTTGTAGCAAATTAGCTCAAATGGGAAATGTATATAAATAATTACAATTAATTATGATTAATTACAATTATTTATATGAGCTGCCAGTAGTAACTGTAGCCGCAGCGACATAGACCTTAAGGGTGGAGGAAGACATCCTTCACTCCAACCCTTGCTGCAAAAAGGAAAGCACGACCCTGATCGGGCATCTCCGGGGGTCTTCTCGGTGAGAAGAACACCACTCAACGAACAGGTTCCACTTCAAGGTGTAAGCGTGTCTCGTAGACGGTGCTCTCGCCGAAGTGATAGTGTCAACTACCTCTTGGGGTCTGTCACCTAGAACCTCCGTGTCCCGTCCAGGGACCAGACATGAAGTTTCCAGAGGTCTGGATGTGGGAGCCACAGGGTGCCCTGTCTCTAAGTCAGTAGATCCTTCCTCAGAGGATCTGCCAGGGAGGGGCTGTCACAAGGAGCATTAGTTCCGGGAACCAGGTCCGAGTGGGCCAATACGGTGCCACAAGCAGGACCTTCTCCTCGTCCTCCTTTACCTTGCACAGCGTCTGTGCGAGAAGGCTCACTGGGGGAAACGCATACTTGCACAGGCCCCGTGGCCAGCCGTGTGCCATGCCGAGTGTTCCCTCGGTCAGGGAGTAGAACAACTGGCAGTGTGCCATTTATGTTTTCATGTTTATTAATGTTTGTTCATGTTATGCTCCGAAACGTCTCCAAATCAGCTGGACCGTCTGGGGATGGAGTCTCCATTCTTCCGGGAGCGTAGCTCGTGACAGCTCATCGGCCGTACGGTTGAGCAGACCCGGAATGCGAATGGCACGAAGTGACCTCAGACCCTTCCGACTGCAAAGAAGGAGGTGAGTTCCGACATGCGACGGGAGCGCAGACCACCTTGTCGGTTGACATACGCAACAGGTCGCCGTGTTGTCCGTTCGGACCAGCACGTGCTTGCCTCGTAATCGCCCTTTGAGATGGATCAAGGCAAGGCGCACCACTAACAACTCCAGGCAATTGATCTGCCAGTGCAGTACACCCTCGACACTGCATGCCCATTGTACGTGGCCCCCCAGCTGGTGGTGGAGGCATCCGTGTAAACCACAGCATGCCTGACCTGAAGGCCCAACCGGCTGAAGTGCGAAAGCACCAAGTCCCTGTGTGCACACAACTGATGCTGAGACTGAGCTAATATGAGCCAGTCGTTGAAGTAGTTGAGAACCAGCACGAGCCACCCCAAGAAACCCACCCTCTCGGCGGCCCGGGAAAGCATAGCCGACATCTCTGGATCCGATTCAGGCCTTGCCACCATCCCAGAGGGCGGCAGCGCAGTCGAATCTTCCTCTACAGAGAGCTCTCCCTCCGATGCAGTGTTCGACATCTGGTCGTCGGGAGGAGCACCAAAGGATACCGCTGGTACGCTAACTCCATACCGAGAAAAGAGATCCTCTGCGTCGGGGAGAGCTTGCTCTTTTCCCAGTTGATCTGAAGGCCCAACCGGCTGAGGTGCGAAAGCACCAAGTCCCTGTGTGCACACAACTGATGCTGAGACTGAGCTAATATGAGCCAGTCGTTGAAGTAGTTGAGAACCAGCACGAGCCACCCCAAGAAACCAATCGTCCAACCTCGAGGGCCCAGGACGCGGTGGAGGTTTCCACTCGAGCATAGCCGACATCTCCG